CACACACACACACACACACACACACACACACACACACAGCTCTGCCATCATCATCGCAGCTCTGGAACCTGCCTGCTATCTCCATTTTCTATATTTAGGCCGTGAGCATAAGATGTCTGAAATTGCCGGTAGTAAACTGTCATGGTTGTTTGTGCAGCAGCAGCGGCGGCGCCTGTAATCGACTCTCAGTTCCATCTCAGGAGGAAATAGACACTTCCAGCTGCTTCTGATACCTGGCCCACATATCCATGTCTCCAAAGTCCACAGACGTCAGCGGAGCACTGGCGCAAACTTAGGCATATCTGAAGAAAGTAACTCTAGACAAAAATCAGCGTGCTGTGATGTTTTTCGCTTCCCCCCCATAGATAAGAAGAGCATTCCTGCATCAGCCGGCAGCGACGATGACGATGATGTTGAAGATCTGTCCGACTTAAGCGACGATGAGGAGATGGAGGGTGCTGATTCCGGTGGGTATATCCCTGGTATCCAGATGGAAACACACTTTTTAGACATTAACATTTTTCCAACCATTATTAATTTAGCTCCAACAGTTTGGAATTCGGCCGCCTCTTTAAAAGTAAAAGGTTAAAAGTTAATTATTGATGGAAACAACACTGCAACTATTAAATTATAATGTTGTGCTAATGCTAAAGAGAAGCTCCAAGATACTGACTTACCTGAACCCTAAAAACGGTTACTGTTACTATAATTATAGTTACGCTATTTATTTTAAAGTTGAATTGCTGTAAATAATTTACATTAATTTTTTTTGGTTAAATGCAAATAACAGGGAACATTGATATATACACTTTTATTGACGTGTTTATACATGTTTTATTTAGCTTATATCTGAAAATATTCCTGTTTCTAATGGGAGATTGAAATGCAAGTGCTTCATGTCTGTGTTGCAGATGGAGACGAGGATGGGGATGAAAACCCCTCCGGCGCTCCTCAGCCGCTGTCGACTGCAGCCCTGATAAAGCTGGCAGAGGGAGAGGAGGATGTGGTGGAAGACCTACAGCTGTCGGATGATGACTGACCTTCATGGAGTTTGTGCATCCTCCCATGCACCGTTCATACATGTCATATTGTTAGACTTGTGGCTTTCAGCCTTTCAATTTTGCATTGCATCACGTGTACAGTACAAGCAAGATTATGATGGAATTTTTACTAAGTGTTGGAACCGTAAAGCAAAGTTCAAGAATCCAAATTGTGTCACCTGGCCCTTTTTTTTTTTTTTGTCATGATGCTGATTCATTAATGTGTGCTAACTCAGAGATGCAACTGAACCAAGAAAATGTGTTTTGTCTGTGCATGTGCACACCTGAAGGTACCCTCAGGCTTCACAAGGGTGGGTGATTTTGGAAGGAGCAATGCATCTGGCTGAGCCAGGCCAAGAGGATGGGTGTTGGGCCCCGAGGCAGCGGAGCAGTGCCAGTCTGGCAGGGTAGTGTCTGATCCCGTGCCAAAACTCTGCCCAGGTGGTTGAGCAGCAACACAGGCCGGCGTCTGTTTCTGTGCCAAGTACTCACCCACCCCCCGTCCAGACCACTGTCTTCTCTGTCTGAGTATTCGTGCTCTCGCACTCTTTCCTTCTCTGACCGCTCCCCCCTGATTTCCAACATTTTTGAAGCGCATGCACAATTTCACTGCTAAACTAAAGGGGAATATGGGTTTTCTTGAGTCATTGCACTCTTTGCATGAATTCACTGGTGCACAAGACGAGGGGCATTAGTCTTTTGACATGGTTTTAAATCCCACAAATGGATCTGTAGTCACATTTCCGGAGTTTAAGGTCTTTTTGTTTTTTGGCTAATTCAGTAACTTCAGACGCAGACGTTCCCCTAAAGCGAAGGGGAAGTCCCGGCAGAGCGTGCAGAGTTTAGTGCTTTGAAGGAGGAAGGTAAGTGATGGTGGGGTATGCGAGGAGGGTCTGGTTTACCCACGCAGGCAGGGAGGCCTCGGCCCAGGGGTGAACCTCACACTCCGACAGCTGGTGTTGACCTGAACTGTGCTCCTCGTGGGGCTCTACCTCCCCTCTCGCGCACACACACACGGGAGACCTCAAACTACCCCACCCACACACACATTTTAGTATGAAAACCACAAACACCTGAAGAAGAAAAGACATTTGTAGGTTATCTGATCAAAGTGCACACGCACACACACACACAGGAAAAGACACAGCAGTAATATTTCTTTAGGATTTATTTCACCTGTGCGGTGAATAGAAAAATAGGATGAAGACAAAACTTTGAAGGGAAATCTAAAGACCATTTTAATTCATTGCTTGCGTTGTTAAAAAAAGAAAATCCATAACAAATTCGAAACATTTGCATTAAGAGCTTTGTGCCTTTTCTTTTCCCTGCAACCAAGAGAAAACAAAGTGAAAGTATCTTTGGAATCCATTTTAAGGGCTAATTTTTATACATATCCATATCTGCTTTCATCTACTACATCAAAAGTCCTATAAATATTTTTGTCCTCGTATTTATATGCTGGAATAGCATTTGAGATTGGAGCATCTTTTATAATATTACACTTTTTTTCTTCTTTTTTTTTTTAGAAAAAAAAAAAAAAAAAAAAAAGTACCACCAAAGTTCAGCAAGTCACATTTTTCAGTAAAGAAATCCTTATTCGTGCAACTACATTTGACAAAAAGTGAAAGTACCACTTATGTAACCATCAGAATATTTTCATCTTAAGCGTGATTCTGTACAATTTTGCATGTTTATCCTACCTCCAAAAGTAGTCAACACAAATGTACAATGACTGCACACGCCACGAGGCTCCACCATTTTGACAGTTCAAAGCCTTTTGCTTGTCAGCATATGAAAAGCTCTACCTGCGTCAGCTCAAATACAGTCCATTGTGTGAGGCACTAGCCTAGCATTTCCCTGTTGGACCAGTCTTCCTCTGAGACGATTAATGCAAAAAAGAAGCAGACACGTTGTGAAAACTAGTTCCAATTCCACGCATCCAGTCATCTTTGGTATCGGGACAGTGGAATGCATAGTTGCAGTGAGAACAGAGAGCTGGTCAGATCTGCTGCTGCTCAGCATGTGTTTCGACTCCAGCCTCTAAAGACAGCGCCACACTGCTGTTTGGCCTCAGGAAATTGTCAGAGAAGAAGGACAGGAGGCAGAGAAAAGTGGGGAGATGCATCTCTCTTTCATGTCTGCAGGGCCTGTGGTCAACGCAGTCATAGATGGAGACAAGAGAAAGAAGGTGTGAGAAGGGCTTCCTTCTGCAGAGGAAGGAAGGAAGAGTTTCCGCTAGCGTCTGTCTGATTTGCAAGAATGTCGCATTTGTGGCAGAGCTCTGCTCATGTTTTTTGGCAGGCCGTCTGTGACCAGCTGTCTCCTTTTCCTTTTCTCTGTTCCTCTGTCAGTTCACATTTCTTCACTCCGAGCCCAGTTTCTTTGGATTCTGCTCAGCTACTGCAGAGGTTGTCCAAAAGTTTCTCATTCCAGTCCAATATTTTCCCGTCGATTTCAGGTTAAAGGTCTCAGTGTAAGGGATGGTGGGTGAAAAGGACAGTCTGATTCAAGTGACCCTGCTCAGACTCATGCTCGGTCTTCTCACTCTGCCTGTGGGCCCCTACGAGGGAGTTTTCGCCTCGCATCTTCCCACCATTGCGGAACCGTTCCCGTTTTCCTGTTTGGGGGAGGAGCACCCCGGCGTGGGTCCGCTGTACGGAGACGAGCTGCTGCTCGTGGAGGCGGGGCGTTGGTGCAGGGACAGGGAGAGAGGCATCGGGGTGTCAGATGGCGTGGTCAGGGGGTCTCTATCCCGCTCGGGAGGGCGCATGGCGGCAGACGGTGGAAATGGGAATGCCAGCGGGAATCCTGTCATGTAAAACAGCCTGCCAACGCGGCGTGCCACCTGAGGACATAAGAAGAGACCATATGACTGTCAGGACAGCCAGGCGAGCTTCGCGCAGTGGGCTAATGTTTGTATTTCAGAGAGAAAGAGAGAGAGAGAGAAAAAAGAGGCTGCAGCCTGTGGGGGCAGGCTAGTTTAGGGGAATAAGCTATTCTACCCTATGCTAGTAGTTTTCCCTGGCCCTAAGGACAGGACACACGTTCAAACACACACAGCTCCACACGGTGTGTGTACCTGTGAGCGGATCTTGAGGGCGGGCCCCAGCTTTAGTCCCATGGTGTTGAGCAGGTGCTCCTCAGTGAGCAGAGGTAATGTCTCTCCATCAATGGCCTGCTCCCGAAACACCTGGCAGAGACACAGCCGCTTCAGCCACAGCCCGGCCACACGCCGGCCACACACACCCACTCATCCTGCCTACAAACAGCTGCTCTACTCCAAACCGTCACAGACCAATCAGCATGATCACAATACGGATCATCCAACTGTGGTCGGATGACAAAATCATAGCTGCCAACTAATCGTCTGCTCCCCGGCAAACAATGTTTTTTTTTTTCCATTCGAATTTCATCGAAAGGAATTTTACAGAGGAAAGAGCCGCTCATGAAGTGAGGATGGTTGACATATTCCAAATGTATTCAGGAACAATCATCGGGAACACACATTTCCTTCACACAGTCTACACATCGCCATACATCCACCGTGAACGTGACCATTCATTCATTCATCCACACACCTAAAACTTAACGAGCCGACGGTTTAGTTCTCCCGCTTGAACATAATGACACCTCATTACTAATCCTCGAGAAGCTTCGGAATATCCATCCTATCTTTGTCACTTCTCTTCTTCTATGGTAATTAGCCAGCCTGCCCCTGGCCTCAGTTCCTTTTCTCTCTCTCGTCCTCTCCTGTTCTCTCACCTGGGTGTATTCCGCACATCCAGCCAGGCTGCTTATGAAGCCACACACATCCTCCACACTCCACTTGCCGATGTCCTCCACAGGGTTGGCCGTGGCTGAGTCCTCTCCATCCATGAAAAGACCTCCCAAAGAGCCTGAAAAAGCAGCAGCGAGTGAAAATGATGTGTCAATACATAAGCTGGGTCCAAAGCTGTTGCACGTTCCGACAGAATGAATGGAAACTACTTCGAACAAGAATAATTTATTCGGCTCTGGTGGGTCTGTGTAATTAGCAAGCCTTTTCTCCAAACATTTAAAGTATTTTCAGTCAGAATTGTAGACGTATTGTATTAAGGAGATTAACAACTCTGTGTTTTTCGGGACTGCTCTGGAATTGCGAGTTCCCCAAAGAATGAGGAAACCAGCAACATAAATCTGACACCAGAGAACATTTGGCACTTCTGCTCCCAAAAATGTCTGAATGTTTTAAACGATCAGGGGAACAACTGTGAAACACCGCAATGTTTTGATTTACAGATAAATGACTCGGTTAGCATCTTCTGTCCTTGAGCTGCCCATGATGAACTTTTGCTTGGGTTTGCAGAAATTCAATTTAGTTAGCAATTCTTGTTAGTTATCAAGTTATTGTGGTACAGAATTACTTCAACAAAACGCTCCCTTTAAACTCTAAAATCTACGCTTTGTCGTCTTTAGTGGAATTCTCATATTAGATCATATTAGTCAAATGCATTGACCCTAAACAAAAAGGATTATTATACATCTGCTAGAGCTGTTCTAAGATGTTGTCACCCCTAATGATACTGTGTAGTAAACAAACTATTAAAATAAACTGTCCCTATGTTTCACCCGCTGCTTTCCTCTGCTGAATGTCACCATGCTAACTCATTTACAGTGACAAATAACGTGGTTTGTTATTAATATTTTATATTGTTCGTCATTTGTTAAGTCATTTACCAGTGGAACTAGCCTCAACATGCGCAACGGACTGTGGGCACTTTTGAGAAAACAGGAGCTGGATCTTTGAATTTTCATCCAATCCAATGATTTAGCCTGAGATTATAGGGTGAGGACATTAATCGTCCTCCCCTTGTCGTCGCCGAGAAGCACCCCCCAGCAGAAGAATCTGAGCGTGCTTTGTGTTTGGACAAACAACCCCCCCCCCTCCCTAACGTCCTCCCCTCGTGGTTGTGCTGCTGGTGGTGTGCGTGTGGGTCGCGCTGGGGTCAAAGGCATGGCTCCTAACAAGGAGAGGTCTCCACACTGGAGACGTGCACACACAGAGTGACGCTAATGGGTTTCACATGTCAGCACTGAGCTTCGTGCGGGTGTGTGCGTGCGTGTCTGAGTGTCTCACCCGTGTGAAAGTAGGGGCTGGCGTAGGGGAATGCAAAGGGCAGCGTCTGGGCGTGCAGAGCGGGCAGCGGAGGCATGAACCCCGGCGGCAGGTGGTACTTGAGGTCAGCTTTGCCCAGTCCAGGAGTGAAGAGGTGGCGGCTGGGCGACTCCGTACCTGCTGAACTACACGGGGCGCTCAGCCTGCCTGAACTCTCTCCCGCCTCCTTGGCACGATCACACCCCCCCTTGCTGCTGGCCTCTTTGCCTCTGCCCCTGTCCTTGTCTCTGGGTTTATTGAGCTTGGCGCCGTCCCGCCTCTCGTCGCACATCTCCGCCTCGCTGTCCGAGTCCTTCATTTCTTCATCGCGAGACTCCAGGTCTTCGTCCCGTCTCCTGTCCTCTCGTCCTCCTCTGTGATCCACGGTGCGGATGGGTGTCTGGGGGTCTCTGCGGGACGCCTTTCTGGATTCTGCCTCCGCCCCGAGCACGGAGCTCTGGACCTGGCTTTCTTTGGGTGCGGAGGACGCTCCCGGCTGCTGATGCTGCTGGTTGAGGGTCAGGAGGGGCGTGGCCGCCCCGTGCCGAAGCACCAGCATGGCGTTTGAGCGGCGGGCCAGCTCCTCCCGGAGCGAGTGTCCCTCCGGGATGTCGTGAAGACTCCGCAAGGCTGGGTGGTCGTGGGGCAGGCCGGGAGGCAGAGCGGTCAAAGGGTCAGAGCCCAGCAGACGCTGCTGCTGCTGCTGTCGCTGGTGAAGAGTTTCCAGCTCCTTCTGCCGCAAAAGCTCCGCAGACATCTCCAGTCTAAGGGCGGCGAAAGACAGACTTTATTATACAGGCCAGATGTTACATTGTTCTGATCGTGCACAGCCAGATCAACATCATGTGACCTATGTTAACATAAGTCTGTGATTGTCAGTTTAAATGCCGCAACACACACCTTGCCAGATTTTGCTTCCTTAAGAGCTCCTGTTGCCGGGCAAAGATCTCAGCTTGAGCTGGTTGGAGGAAGCCATAACCTGTTAAAAAATAAGTAACAAAGTAAAGGAAACAGGCCAGTAAGCAAAAACTGAGAGCACAGACTAACTCACTTCAGTGTTTTTATCTGATGCCACTTTATGCTTTATTACTGCATCTAATTACTTGACAGTTTTAAGAATTTTCACCTAATTTTAATAATCAAATAATCCAAACTAAGCATTAAAGCAAGCCCGAAACCTGGAAGCAAGTTTGTGCATTTCAGTATTTTTTTCAGTTGCCATTAACATTTCATCACTGCTAAAAATATTGAACTTTTCTTGTGTATATTTTAAAACTGGGGAAAGTTGTGTAAACTACCATCAGCTGCAGAACCTAGTATGCACTAGGTTATGCACTTTATACTTTTAGATAGAATTTTACAATGCTGTGATGTTTTCTTTTCTCATTAGGAAATAAACACCTCTCGCCCCACTATTAGAACATAAAAACACAATTCACTGAAGCCCTGAACTTTTCCTTCGCATCACGTCAGAAGTATTATTCATTCACTGCACGGCCTCACTGAAGACTCACCAGGGGCCTGGCAAAGAGCAGAGGGCATGCCCAGGAAAGGCGGCCGCAGATGAGGTCCTAAGGCAATGTGAGGAGCAGTTGGAGGCGACAAGAGGGGAGGAGGGTGGGCCAGGTCTCTGTGGACAAAAACATAAGCAAGACATTAATCAAACTTGGATTTTAGTTAGCATGACAAATGTGCTCATGGCTGTAGCGGTTTCCCCCGCTCACAGAGTTTGGTGTCCTCAGCCCGGCTCATCTCTATGCACACGTGTGTGTGTGCAGCAACACCTGTGTATGTGGTGTATTTTTATCAGTGGCACACCAGAGGCCCCCATGTCGCCCCGGCGCCTCATCAGTCTTGTCACGCTGCAGTAAGCGCCGCTGGCCATCGCTGTACCCTGGACTGCAGCCTTTCCCTCCCCTGTCGCCTCCCTCACACACACACTCACACACACACACAGCCCCAAATCCACACACATAATGAGGCCTGAATGCACAATGCCAGTGTGTCACGCTCCGACAGCTGGGGCGGCCCCTGCGTCTCGACCGGGGCCACGGCTTGAAGGACCTTCTAATTAACACTCATCCCTCCTCTCTCCGCTCCTTTTTCTTTTTTTTTTTTACGGCCTTCTCCCCGTCTCCCTCCCACTCGCCCTCTCGGCGGCATTGAAAAGATGGAACATCCTGCAACCTCTGCCTCTGAAAGGGCCTCTCCATTATTGGCTCGGTCTTTTGTCCTTCTTGAGGGGGGAAAGGTGCCTCTCACCTTTCTCCTTTTCCGTCTGCCTTGACCATCTTTATTGTTGCCTGTACTCCCCTGTGACCTCTGAGAGAGAAAAAAATCCGTCCCCACTGATTTTTTTTCCCCCTTCACTTTTCTTTTGCTTTTAAGTTTTTTTTTTTGGCTCCCTTTTTCCTCCCTTCGTTCTGTCCCTTGCTCTGGCTCTGTGTGGTTCTTATGCTTACTCCTTTCTTTCCTTTCTCTGAACTTGGTGCACATCATTAGGGAGTTATGCTGATGAAAAAGCCCATACAAAGCTGCCAGATGAGGGAGGCACATGCACCTTGACCCTCTACAGGTGTCAAAGAAGGTATGGTTTAGATCCTGGAGGGGATGGTGACGCTGTCTCCAGGGCTGCCCCTCGCCTCCCCACATCCCCTCTCCCGTTTCCCTCCTCCAGAGCTGTTGCTGCCACACCAATCAGAGCTCAGCTCTGTGACTGCCGCGGCACAAAGGCATACATGGGAAGCAAGCTGAGGAAAACAACAAAGTCAAAACCAACACTGGGACGCGTGCAACCGCAAATATTGTTTTGCAAACCGTGTTCAAATTAGCTAGCGCCTGCATGTCTCCCGCCTCTGTAAACGGTGAGGGAAGAGAGACGAACTGCTCTGAGGGCGGGTTCATGTGCATGAACGGGGAGATGAAATGGGACGGGGTGGGGGGGGGGGTAGGGGTGGGGGTTGGGGGCCTGAAGTCAGACAGTGTGTGTGTGTGTTGCGTGTGTGTACGTGCACTCATCGATCGCCTCCGCCGCTGAAATGTTAATACTAATCGTATAACCGCTCTCTCCGGCGGTGCCTCGCACTCCAGTGGCAGCTCCAATTAATCTTGGGTGAGGTTCTGTGGCGCGTGACCCCGGAGCCGCTAGTCGGGGCCCCGCTATCCGCTGCTTATGTAATTACACCGCCCAGTGTGTAATCACCTGGCCTAATCCCTAAGGGCTGGCAATTAGCTTTGCGACGCACAGTTCCACCAGGCAACGCCATGGCGCCCACAACCCCCCCCAACCCCCCCCCCCCCCCCCACCCCCCCCCCGCCCACCCCCCACCCCCCCCCCCCCCCTACCCCCCCCCCCCCTCTTCTTTCTGATATTCCCCCTTTCTTCCCTCTCTGTGCACCGCCGTGCTTAGCGTTAGCCCGCAGATGAATAACGGTCAATTAAAGCTGCATGACTGGGGCTGCCAGGCGTCTGCGCCACCATAATTAGGCCTAATCACGGGTGAGAGAGGGAGAGCAGAGCAAGAGTGTGCGTCTGACACTCCTCTGCTCTCCCTTCCTCCATCTCCTTCCTTCTTTTATAGGAGGCAATTTTGAGGGAGGAGTGGCAGACATTAGTCGTTTCGCTCTGGGGATGTGTGCGCGTTGCGCGCGTGTCTGTCTTTCAGCTCTCGCGCGCGCGCACGCGGGGTTTACTTTTTTTTGCACCCTGTGCATTTTGTTGGCAAAAACCACTGACAAGCTATAAAAAGACGAGGCGAAAACATTCACCTAGATTTCTCGTGAGACCGTTGGTGGGGGAAAAATAAAACATTCCCAAAAAGGTGGACTCATAATCACACCAAACTCCATCACTGGATTCTGTCTGTCCCCGCCTGCAGAGAGGCCGCGGGCTCCTGGGGAATTCACTGGTGTGTGGCGACCTGTCAGAGTGGCGACAGTGGGGCCGTCCTGCAACAGCCCAGGCCCCGTGTGTGTGTCTGTCTGTCTGTGTGTGTGTGTGTGTGTGTGTGTGTGCGTGTGTCTGTGTGTGCATGCGTGCGTGCGTCTGTGTGTGTGTGTGTGTGTGTGTGTGTGTGACAGGGCTGCCCTTAATGACTGAAGCGTGGGGGGGATTAGGAGCGCCGCGCGGCCGCCTTCGGCTCCCTCTCCGCAGGAACACATTTACACAGGAAGCTCATTAAAATGGATGAGGCTCCCTCCACGCTTGCTCCCCCCCCCCCCCCCCCCCCCCCCTCCCCTCTATCTCAGTCACTCCCCGCACCCCACCGCCTCCCCTTATCTCTCTCTCTCTCTCTCTCTCTCTCTCTCTCTCTCGATCTTCTCACTCTTTATTTTGGTTTATCTTTCCCTCTCGCTCACCTCGCCATCTTTTTTTGCCTCTTTTAATATTTTCCTCTTCATCTGCCTTTCCCTTTACTTTTCTCCAGCCCTCCCATATTTGCCTTGCAGATGCTCGATGAGCTTAGTGCCATTTAAGGCCAGACAAATGGAGCGCCAGGCTCTAAGCCCATCGAGCGGCCCTAATGATTTGTTTTTAACAATGGGCCCTAATGGGCCCCAGATAATCAATGATGAGGGGTCGATGGAAAGGTGAGCCGCGGAGAGTTACAGTTAGAGGGGAGAGTTTTCCTCCCCGAACTCAGTCATTTTAATGCATTTTTTTCTTGAACTTACCAATTACCGTCATTTTAATGTAATCTTCACACTTTCCACTAATGTCTTAATTTATCTCTACTCTGTTTCTGGGGATTTTATGTGTCTTATGGTTTCTACAATCTGGCCCTTCAGTACACTTTATAGTATATTCCCCAGACAGGAAGTATATCTAGCTGTTTGTCCATCAAATAGTTTTAAATTTTTAATTCAATTTTTGATACATGGAGACAAAAGTACAGTATGTTAAGATATTAATATAATATCTTTAAGATCGTAAGCACAGTTATAGATTGTCATCATGCATCAATCAATGCAGATTATTTACTAAATCAGCATGGTGACAGGTGTCAGCCATTGGGACATGTTCCAAATTTCATCAGTAACTTGAGATAGAAGGAGGTTTTTGAACCCCAGGTCAGCGGATTTGGACAGAGGGTCAAAGCAGTGAGAGGAGTCATGCTTTGCTGCCTCACATGTCCAGGATTGACTCATAGCCACAGTGGTATGCAGCAGCCAACATGCTGCTGCAATCCTCTCACACCTGACTGGTTCCAGCCCAGGTTAGGGAAATGGACTGTCTCATCGAGCTCCACAACATGAATGCTGTTCAAGCAAGTGAAAGGTCACAGCTGAGATTTATTTAAAGCAAGGTTTTTTTCTTTTACTTCCATTCATTGCTATTTTTAAAGATCACAAGAGATCCCAATATGGTGCCTTTGTTAGGCACTGCACATTACAACTTCAGTCCAAAACAAACTCAATCAAATCTGATCACAAATTTAAGTTGGAGCACTTCAAGCAATTTCATAGTTTTGTCACTGGTCTTATCCCTCTTCTTCTATGAGGTTTTTAGGTAAATAGTGTAGCTGATTAGGTGGAGGAAAATCAAGAGGTTTGTTTGCTCAAGGACTTGCATGTACTAACCAAATTCTGAGATAGACCAGCTGCCCTGCCATACCATACAGCACCTTACACTTTAACAAAGAGGGGGGGTGAATCCTGTATTTTCCCTCCCGTATTGTTGCACATTTAAAAATGTATACCATACTGCAACACTTTTGTTCATCATTAAAATTACTGCATGACAGGTGATTTTTTTAGCATGTTTTTACAAATGATATATATTTTTTCCTGAGCTGTTTTCCAGACACAAGCACCTAATGTTAAGCAAGGTAACAAATACTGAGGACTGGATCTCAGAAATGGAGAGTTTTTTACCATTTTTTTCTACAAATACTGCCAGCAAAGCATTAAAATGGATTACTGACATAATTCTGCTGCTTTTTTATCAAATGGTAAAACTTTATATTGACACAATATAGACTTCATAGGCTCCTACTAGATTTTCTAATTGTAAATTTGAATACAGCCCTCATATTAACCACCATAATTGTCAGTTACAAAACAACAAACTTTATGTGATTTATTCAGTGGTCTTCAGCATACTGCATTTTGTTTAATCAGATCTCTCTTTTTTTTTTTTTAAATCACCCTAAAATGCACATTGATAGTTATGGCATTGAAGAGTTCATAGACGGACACAGTAAGACAGAAACGGATGGACGGATGGATGGGTGCTGAGGCCTGTTTAACTCTCCCCAGTCCTGTGAGGCTAATTACTCAGTGTGCTGCCGGAGAACAGCTACGGCTCACCGAGTACATTCACACTGAACCACTGGCCTCTCACATTCACAGACGCACAAATTAGCAGACATATTCACACAAACAAACCCAGATTCAGTCCGCATAGATGAGCAGGCATGCAGACCAACAGCTTGAAAAATGGAGCAAACAAACACGGTTAGACCACTCGGTTCCCCCTCCTCGCCTCAACACACAAAATATATACACCCCCACCATCTCCCATAGATGCACCATACAGCGCCTGGCTGCTCTGTTTCCTGCTTATCCCCCCCCCACCCCTCCCCGCCGCCCCTTACCAACTCCCCTCTGTCTCACACACACACACGCAAACCATACAAACACACACACACCCCCTGCTGCCGCACCGCCGGCCCATTATCGATCCCCCGCCTCTCCCCGCTCCACATAAATAATCGACAAGCAATTACCCGCCCACTCCCGCTGCCCCCGGCTTTGTTTGGGAGGCGCAGGGGCCAGCGCTGAGGGGGGGACGGGGGAGGGAATGACGCGCAGACGCGCAACTCCACGCTGGTAGCCAGGAGGTTTGCGGGGCCTTACTTTAGATATGTCTGTGAAAAACACACAAGCTCTGTGCAGCACACTGAGGAAAACTCAATACGAGATCAAATCTTGATCAGGAAGTGAAATAACGAAAGGAAGACAGCAGCAGTGTGCGGATGCAAACTGACAGGTGATTAACTCTTATACCACATGGATTTTTTTTTTTTTTTTTAAACAATGAAAAAAAAAAAGCTGGTCTTGCTATCATGCAGTATAGGGATGTGGTTTCAAAAAATGCAGCTCGCTGTGGCAGGTTTTTTTACCTGTCAGTGTAATGTGCGTCCCGATGCTGTGGCAGGCCCTGCTTACGTCTCTGGCTGGATGATGAAGAGCTGCCCGCAGAGGGCAAGTGAGCTTCTAAGGTTGCGGGATTCCTCACTGCTGCCGCCAGCGCCTCCTGACGAGCGCGCAGCAGGTCTGAGTACGGGGGGAAAAACAAAGAGGAGGATGACAACTTAGTGACATGTAAACGACAGTGGATTTATAGTTGAGACAAAAAGGGAAATGTTGGTTCAGTTAAATGAAGCACGGGGGAGGACAAAATGATTAGCATCTAGCTGCTGTCCGTGCAAAGATATTAGCAAAAAGTGGAGCATTTACAGATTCAGTCAATAATACAGTCAACAGTTTGGCAGAGCCGGTTCTCCATATCTTAAACTAGATGTGTTGCAGGATTACTCCAGTAGAATACAAAACAGTAGAGTTTGAAAAGTTACTTATTCT